GTTTCTTTTCAACTAATGTAGCTTTTTGTAAACTACAAGTAAGTATTTGGCATTTTTTTGCCAACGCTCTACTTTAGTTGCTTGACGGCGGTCATTTATCAATTTTCACCTATGTATATATATATGTAATTAAGTAAGTGCATATGTGTGGCACGAGCAAACGCACACTTTTGTTTATCTATAATAGCCGTTTCTATTTTATTTTATTTTTTTACCAATGAACGCATAGTTTTGGCGCCTGTCACACGTGCTAATTTATTACTAATTGACTTTTGGTGAAAAGTAATTTAATCTGCACGCAAAATATTTTATTTTAATTCGTTTTTTTTTGTGTATTGTGTTTTTTCTTTGCAGCTTTCCTTAGTGCAGCTGGCCACTACCGATAACGCAAATGGACGTGGGCTGCGTTTGGAGNTTTGGAAGGTAAGGAAATTTGTTTGTGTACAAGCATGTACATTCAGCCTTGGCCACAAGTATTAGGCACCCCGATATATGAACATTTTTTATTTTATTTTATTTATTTAATGTTTAATATTTTTCTATAAAATAAAATCCTAGCTCATTATCTAACAAAAAGCATACAAATCAAAATTCCAAACTTTGTGCAAAAAATATAAAAATTCTTTAGAAAAATAATTGGTATGCAGTTTTCTAGCTCAGTTCCTCGTCTCTCAAAACATTTTTGCCAAATTCCTCATACCATCCCATGCAAAGTAGAGGCAGATACTCAAAAAGTGAAAGCAACTACCTAGCACGACCCTCCGAGATTGAGGGCATTATTAATTAATTTAAATTTAATTTGGACTACCTGCATGCTTTCGTAGCCTCCCCATTGCTGAGCAAATTATTCACCTATGTTCTGATGTTGGCTTCGACGGCTATAACTGTTTGCGGACCAAGAAATACCTATTCTGAGCCCTCTCTTCTACAACAACCAGACGGAAATAAGAGCCATCGACTTGGAGACTATTACCACTGGTTCATTAAAGCAATGTAGAGAGTATGTTACGTTACGCTGAATGCCAGGTGTTAGCCAGAAAAGCGCTCCCTCGGGATATTTTAGTTTACTCAGCATTGGCTAAGTGTAGCCAGTTGCAGTTGGAAGGGGTCTGGGGTACAGGGTCTGAAAATGTTTGTAAGCTTCTTCTTACGTTTTCAAGTTAACTTCAATTGTTCCTAAACTGGATGGAAAGGACTTGTTAAGCTTCCCAACTGCTTCCGAATGCACTCGGCTATCGAGACTCAAAAAATTAAAATATTTTTATTAATTAATTGATGCCCCCATATTCGACTCTGAGTACTTTCCTCAATTTTATTAAGAGTTTTAAATCGACAGATGGAATTTAAATAAAATTGGTGGTTTATCAAATTTTGTTTCTTCAGCTTTGGCGGTGTATAAAGCACTCGCCACATCAGCTACCGATAGAAAAACTAGTGTTATGCTTCTTTAGGCTAAGTATAAGGCATCTGTTATAATTCACTGAGTTGTAGGTAGTAAATTGGTATTGTGGGACACAACTCAACTCTGACTACATAGTTGTCTGTCAATTGTCTAGAACCAATACCCTCGGGCACATCGATAAAAAGATAATTCTTAACTGACTTCCTTACATTATTTCTACAGACCGGCCAACGAGTCTGTATTGTGAATCCTTTTTGGCGGGCGCCATAACCGAGTGGTTAGAGGTGTGTACATCAGCCCGGTAGGACCTAGGTTTGATCTCTGGTACGAGCAGCATTTAAAAATATAAAAAGTATTTTCTAACCAGCCAAACGCTTAAAGAATGTATTCACTTTTGATCTTCTATAAGCTCACATTTCAGCACGATTATCTGATAAAAATAAAATCTAAACTACTCACATCAACGGAATCTAATTGTTTATACTTTCCTTATTATTTGTTTTCCTTCATTTATTTATGTATTTATGTAGTTGTTCTGCTTATTTTTGTGAACATATTCTTAATTGCTTTTCATTTTTATTCCCTTTCAGCCGTTGCACGTGGCGCCCAATGGTCGGGTAGACGTTGCTGCGCTTTGGGCTTGTCGCCGCGTTGCCGCAATGCCTGCGCCACATCAGAATCGACGGCGCAACCACAACTAATCAACGCGTGCCGTCAAAGTGATGAGCAACATATGTTTGCTTGTTTTGAACATCAGGAGGCTGGCGATCGTTGTTGTAGTACGGCGCGCACTTCGGAATGCCTACAGGTGGGTGCAGCGTGGGGGAATGAGGGAACTGTTGTTGGATGCAGGTGGGAGAACGACGTATGTGCTATTTTTGGTTGATACATTGACTTAGGAGAATGTCTAGTGCTAAAATAATGTCTAGGGACACACACACACACACACACATATGTATGTAGGGACCATCTCTGTTGTAGGAAAAGAAAAATCACTTTACTTATAGAGCACTTGGCTTGTTGCACCGCTAGGTTATGAGCGGGAGAAGGACATTTTTGTACTGCTTAGCTGGCTAAACTTCCTCTGTAGGAGATTTACGAGCACATTTTGCAAATTTCACGCCGTTTATTTTCCGCCTTGGCACCGCATAAAGCTACTACTTCACGGATTTCCTAGCCAGCGTTTAATTATTCTTATCTAAATAGACGTAGGCGTTAAGCATATGCAATTAGGTATCGCCACAGTGACTATGTCTTTGGTGGTGCCTGCGGCTACTTCAACAACAAAGAAAAAAGAAGAAAAACAATTGATTCCCAACTTGATTGACTGGTTTGCTAGTTGATTGCAGGCAGCGTTAAAGCCTACGAACGCTCCAATCAAATTCGCATGCTATTAAAATCTTAACAAATTTATTGTTGCAGGCCTGTCGCGATGTCTTTGAACCGCATGCCACACACAAACGCAACGGCCACCACCGACTGCGCGAGATGTGCCACGAGGAACGCGAGGCCGAGCTGCTGCAATGCGTACACAACATAACGGGCATGACGCCGGTGACAAACTCCCACAAATGTAAGTTGAGATGATTTCAATACCTTTTGTGCCGCTGACAGGGTTAATTGAAAAATGTGACCCGCCTTTAGTTCGAGTGAATGTAAACAGATATTCCATTCATCTTTGCAGATCTGCCCTGCTGTGAGTTCTCCAGCGTAGACAGCTGTCGGCGCACCTGTCGCTCGGCGTTGAATAGCACCGAAAGCATAGACATAATTATTGGCGAGCTAGAGGTG